GTGCGCTCACCAGACAGACAGAGACATAGAGACAGAAAGTGAAAAATCACCCCCCAGGGGGGGATGGTCACACTGCAATCCCTTCTCCTCCATTCTCGTCTCGGGATCTTGGGCACGCGTGCACATGCGCCCGGCGTGAGTTTTAAGCCACCGGGTCCGGGACACAAACTGCGGTCAACTACGTGGGAGTCCACCGACATAGCCATTACACTAACTGCTGGTTCCCAATGCCCACTTTCTGATTGAGCTATTTTGTATAGTCCCCCAGGGAAGTTGATGGTGGTGAAATCTTTGGTGCTCTTTAAATCTCAGTTGGCACTTGGGTAAGCCCTTTGTTATAAACATTTGGGCTACCCTCCTGCTTCCAAATAAATGTCCCAGGTGGCAACATTTCTAGACCCCCCAATTGCAGAGGCTTGGTAATGATAGGGAACACTAGAGGCATTTCAGAGTAAGCATCAGTACTGTTGCTGTAATTTAAAACAGTTTATTTTATAGCACTTTATTCTATACAGCATCTCAGGTAAGTCATTCTATTTTCTATGAAAACCAGACACACCTCCCTGCTAGAGGTGGCTCAAAGACCGGGAAATAGAATAGTTAACAGCTCAAGTTACCTACTTGAATGAAGATAGAAACCTAACCCTCTGGTGCCCCCAGCTCTCTCGGTGTGACTCCTGAAGGCAGACATTGGCACCTGCAGCTGTCAACTGCTTTACCTATTTCTGGTCCCTTCATACATCTCAAACCTGGTACAAGATCGACTTATCCAGTGCTTCTATAGCCCCGGGCTCGTCATTCATTTTTTGTAAATATATTTATATTTTTAAATTTGGCAGAGGGTATAAGCACTTGCAGGAGAGAAACAGAGAGAGGAAAGGTGAGAAAGCACCCTCCCCGAGGGGAGTGGTCACAGTACAGTCTATTCTCCTTCATTTCTTCCTCCTTTGGGGAGTTTGAGCACACATGCACATACACCTGGCTTTTTCTTTTTTTGCAAGCCTTCAAGTCTGAGACTCCAACCATGTGGTAGGCCCTAAGAGATCCATCTGCCTTAACCACCATGCCTCAGGCTGGCCTTTTTTTTTTTTTTTTTTTTTTTTTTTTTTTAGGAGGTTTTTTTTTTTTGGCACACTCTTTTTTGCTATAGGTCACATGCACTTGCCAGAAAGACGGAGAGAGACAGAAAGCAAAAATCACCCCCCAGGGGGGATGGCCACACCGCAATCCCTTCTCCTCCAATCTCCTCTCAGGATCTTGGGCACGCATGCACACATGCCTGTTTAAGTGAGTTTAAGCCACCAGGTCCGGGACTCGAACCGCAGTCGACTACATGGGAGTCCAGCAACATAGCCATTACACCAACTGCTGGTCCCATATTCATTCTTAATATTACACAGAGGACATGTTTATATTTGCCAGAGACTTCTAGTTCAAGGGTTGAGAAGATGTCAAGAGGTGCTCAGCAGGCAGGAGACCTTTCTGCAGGGAAGTTGCCTGAATGAAAGTCAATGTGGAAAAGCCACAGAGCTGAGGCCACCGCTGAGCCAAGCACACTCACCAGGGGAGCATGTCCTGGGCCAGAAAGCCTTGGGAAGGCCTCATGTGTGCAGAAACCAGTGCTGGGAGGTGTGTTTGCACCTCTCTAGGCTAGGACCCAGCAGCATTCTGGAGATTGAGAACTGGGAAGGACTGAAAGGAAAGAAGCCCTTGGCTTTTCCACCTGAGAACAAGCTACGTAAACTACCTACATATCCTTAAAAAGTGCTCTGTCCTGGGGATAGCAGGTGGCATGGTGGTTGGGGCACAGGTTTCCACATGGCCAACTGTGACTGGAGTCCCAGACATAGAGGCTTGCTTTCTCACTTTCTCTCTCTCCCTCTGTCTCTCTCTCTCTTTCTCTCTCTCTTACACATGCCCTGTAGCAAGTTTAAAAATAATAAGGAAAAAAAAAATAAATAATTCTTCAGAAAAAAAATAAAAAGCATTTCACCTTATGAGGGTCTGCACTCTGTCTTGATCCTTCATGATAGCTAAAACCATTCATTTATTCAATAGCTAAAGCCATTCATTTATTCACTCGCCTGTGCAAGAATAGTTATTGACCACCCCCTGTGCACAAAGCACTGTGACAGGACATTGCAAGAGATTCCGAGGTTTGTAAAATGTGCACCTGCTTGCTCCATAAGGAAAGCCCCTAGTGCCCAAGGAGATGCAGTGCTGGGTGAGAAGTACAGACGATGAGGTTTAAGAATTGAGGGAGTACTTCCAGCTGGGAGGATAAGAGAAGGTGTTCTGGGGAAACAGCATCTGAAGGCTCTATAAATCATTTTCTTAAAGCTTATCTTTCTTTCGTGGGAGTAAGACACAGGGACAGGCGCTCTCCACTGGGCCTCATACTGCGATCCCCGACTCCCCAGCCTTCCCAGCCAGCCGGGATCGTGGCACCTGCCCAGCATGGACAGGTTGACAGGGAGAACCAGACCAGCCACCTTCCGCATGGATCCAGCGTGGCCCAAGCTGCACGTCACCGCTGAGCGACCAGGCAGGCCATGAACGCTTTACGTCTGAGTGAACCTTTCATATAGGGTCCCACAGGCCTGGAGGGACCAGTAATTCAAACTATGAGTTATTCAGACCTGGTTCTGCTTCTCCAGCTGAATGGTGGCTGTTTCCCTGACCTTCAGCCTCTCTAGCAGAGAGCAGTGGAAAGTGAGGAGTATGTGTGTCCAACCTCCTAATTTCCAGATGGAGTAAATGCTCGTTTACTAGTTGTAGAGGAGACTCAAGTGGACACTAGAGATAGAGATAGGGGTGACCTGTGGTTCCCACCAGTGCTGGTCACTACACACTCGAGTCTCCCTTCTCTGGAACAGTCGCCTTAGGAAGTGTTAACCCACAGGTGTGCATCTCTGTCCTTCTGGAGCCTTAAAGTTATGTTAGCCAGCCTGGCTTCTCCTCATGAACCACGGACCCCCCCCTTCCCCCTCCCCCACACACACGACCAGCAGGTGAAGGGGGAAGAAGGGGTGCTACTTTAGTTCTGACACTAGAATTTTTTGAAGCTGCAATGTCACCTTGTACTCAGATGGCAACATACTCACTGAGGCAGGCTGACCTCTGTTTACTTCGGTACCTCCCTTCTTTTCCTTCTTCTGAAGTCCAGCTATTTTTTTTCTTCCACGAGCAAGAGAGATAGAAAGACAGAGACAGATAGACAGAGACACCCCCCAGTAGGGTCCCCATGCTGCGAGCCATCCCAGCTGGTCCTGGATCATGGTCACACACACCCCAGCCTGTTCAGGGAGGTCTTGGTTCACACCCAGCACCTTCCCACATGGGTCAGCCTTGTGGTGCATCGTGCTATTTAGCTCTGCAGCACCTCCCTTGTAAAAAGACCAGGTGAATCTCCTTCTTCTTTAGCTATTTACTACCTCAAGGGACAGGGCTGTCCCTCTATCCATAGTCTCTGCTCTGACTACACATGGCAATCACATGGAGAACTTCTGGCCAAACACCTTCTCATCCTCACCCTACCCCACCCCATACTAATTGAATCAGAAGCACTGGTGGGACCTGGCATCAGGTCATTTTTAAAAGCTCCCCAGGAGATTTCTATATGCAGACAGGGCTCAGAACTGCACGTATATGGGAGATGCAGGACCTTGGCCTTCAGTTCAACAGGCTCTGGTAAGGGGCTGGCCTTGTATCTAAGTTTAACGCTATGGTGTCCTACCTGTTCTTGTTTAGAGTATGGTTGGGCCAGCCCTATTGACTAGTGGTTAACCCACA